CCTTAAGGGATTTATTTTCCGGAACAATATCGTTATAAGAGCTTTCTTTATTTAGTATGTGTTCTTATTCTATGCAGATTTGTAGCGATATGATAATGAGGTTAAAAAATGTTTATTATTTTTCTTTCAAATATTCGTAATTCTTCCTTACTTGTTTTACTCATTGTCCATGATTCGCATCCATGTATTAAAATAGGTCTAAAGTTTGAATTATTCTCTGTATTTTTTAGTGGCATTATTATTAACCGTGATAATTTATCTTATAAGATATTTAAAGTGTTCCATATTTTGGAAATTGTGATTGTTAACTTTAATATTTTATCTAGATTTATTGAATTGGTCTCTTTTGTTGATTCGCTTGTATCTGGTTTTCATTTCGTTGATTTTAAGTGAAAAATTTTTCGTGCTCTCTTCACTTTATTGAAGATGTTTGCGGACGAGAGAGTTTCTTATGAGATCTATATCATTAGCAGGAGTGCTTTGTACCTTGGGCCGGTAATGGATTACGTCTTAAATAGGCGATATTTCTATTTTAGTAGGCTGTTTATTAATTTTTTGACTATTTGAAACGGTCCTGCAAGTGACAACAGTAGGTTCATTTAATTTCGCTTCGTAATAAACTTAAAATTATTCGGGAATTACAAGTTAGAAAATTCAACCGAGTTCAAAAATAAGTATCAAAAGTTAAGTGCATACAGGTGATAGTAGTTAATAAAGAAAATACCATCAGACAAGTAAGATAGAACTATTTTATTAATAATTTTAACAAGTCTTAAGTAAATGAATAATCGAGTGAAAGATTAAAAAAGTGGTTTTGGCGAATGTTCGAAGGGTCGACCTGCTTAGGCATTCCTACGCGTTTTTTTTTTTTTTTGGCAGATACTAAAGTAATTAGTGCTGACAAGAAATTATTGATCAAAATAAAAGCCACATAATTTTATTACAAAAATCCAGATCTGGCCTTAAAATAGATTTGATTAAAGTTGGGATTAGAATTAAATTAAATTAAAATAATAAATTAAAAGTAAATGTAATACAATAACTAAATCGAATGAACAGCAAAAGAAATAAGCCAGAACACGATAACTTATTCGACGAGGAGGAAGCCATCAAAAAAAGCAAAGCCACGTTAAGAACATCTCCAAAGGATAACATAAAAAATCGCGAAATGGAAGAACTAAAGAAACTACAAGAAGAAATAAATAAGGAGATTAAAACGGAAATAAAAGAGCTGAAAACAGAAATGAAGGAAGAAAATAAGGAGATGAGAAGATATATAAATGAAGTTAAAGAAGAGATAAAACAAAATAACGAAAAAATAAAAAGCATAAAACTGGAAATAGAAAGGGTGAAGGAAGAATGGACAAAAGAGAAAGAAGCACTGAAAAGAGAAAACGAACTAACCAAAACCGATAACAAAAAGATAACGGAAGAATTAAATAATCTAAAACGCTCATTAGAAAGGTTAGACAAAGAAAAAAGAATATAATCATCAGTGGATCAAAAATAGACTCTGAAGACCCAAAAACATTGAAAGAGGGAATGACTACTATATTAGAAAATCATCTTGGAGTTAAAACCAATATTAAAAGAGCACAAAAAATAGGAACAAAAACATGCTTAATTGAACTTGAAAGCGAAGAAGAAAAAACAACAATCTTAAGAAACAAATACAAACTTAAGAATGTGAAGATCGAAAAAAATATGGATTACAGAGGACCTCACAAAAGGAGAGAGAGAGAAAATGGAAGCTTTAAGAGATAAAGCAAGAGAAATAAGGGAAATGGAAAAATGGTCAAAATAGGATACAATAAAATCACAGTGGACGGCAAGGAATGGAGATGGTGCTATAAAGAAGAAAAGGTGTTGGAAATAGCGTGTTCAAAAAACTACCAGAGCAACATAAAAAGAACCAAGGAGAGGCCAAGCAACGAGTAGAGAAAGAAGAATTACTAAATAGAAATTAGAAATAATAAAAATAGATTATAAATCAATTTTAAGCCAAACCCCGGAAATGTCCCTAATAGAGACGCTTTCACAAATCTGAAGATATACCTGAACCAATAGTGTCATGAAATCCTTAAACTCTGGACTTGCTATAAATACCTTGAAGATAGTTTCTATCACAGAACTTTGTTTAAAACCAAATGGCAACCTAGAACCAGAAAAATAATATTCTCCGCAAACTTGTCAGCTCAAAATAGGAAGCACATTCTTCCACCCTTAAAACGTAGACTTAAACTCTATGCTTATGCTGCCATATATACCTTGCTAGTATGGGTGATAAAAACACATACTTAACACGTAAGTATATTTAGCTATAAATTAGTCAGTCATCAGATCATCACATCTGCAAGATATACAAAAAAAATATAAGCTGCTCCTCGCCATCTCAACCCTCGAAAGGAACTTCCTTATGGTTGTTATCTTCCTTAAATTTGCCTGGAGGACTCTTGCCTGCAAACACCGGTTAACCTGTGTGAATGTGGGGTGGTATAAGATTCATCACACTTTCTTAGTTGACTTTTCCATTCAAATCGCTCTTTTCTGAAGGTACAAGGTTTATTTATTTGAACTAAACATGTTAAGTATAGCCAGTAAGCTTTTACTTATAAAGATCATTGCAAATTTGAAACTAACTCCACTTGTATTGATAACATATTACCCCTAAATAGAAAATAAAACATTCAGAAGTATGTAATATTGGAGAAGTGGTATAATGCTTGTTAGATAAATTCTTTCTTTTTTTGTGCACTACTACCCATTTTTACACAAAAATATCTATTTTAGCACTTAAATATTTATTTTGAGATAACCTTTTATCCAAACTTATATGTAGTACATAGATAAAACCAGAAATAAAATAATAAAAAGCTGTATACAAGATATCATAAAACAATGGATGAAATAAAAGAAGTTCTTATTCATCGGATTCTTAAATAAAACTTATGAAGACATATTCACGTTAACAAAATACATTAGGAAATTTCCGCATATGAAACAAAATCCAATTTGGTAATGAAATCCTTTTGTATCTATAAAGCTATTTTTAGAGAACTCGTACCTACCAAAAACAGGTAGTTAATAGTATACATATCTGTTACACACTGCAATGCGTATGAATGATAACAAAACTAAGGAGTCCATATAAACCGTCCAGACTTTACGCGAGAATTATACATCTTATAGCAGAGTTGCCAAACTATCAGAGCTTACTTAAACCGATATACATATGGTTCCAATATACACTGAAAAAGATCTGAACGACCCCTATAATATATACACGTGAACTAAGCGATATACATTTATGATACAGGGATAATTATGGGCTCCAAATTTTTTTTAAAAATTATGAAACTATACATGTTGACGAATCGACAGAGCCAATATTATGGAATGGTCAAGTGAGCTCCGTATATCGGTGTCCACTTGACCACGGAGCTCACCTGAACCTGAATTTTAACATGGGCGGAGTTTACTTTATGCCGTAAATATATATATATATATATATATATATATATATATATATATATATATATATATATATATATATTTACCCGCTGAACCCTGATATATTTCGTATAGAAGACAAATACCTTTCAGGTCGCTGTGGCTTCTGCGTTACCTCTCGTTCAGCCACAGTCCTACGATACGATATCTGAAGAAAATAATGCAGCCGAAATAACAGCACTTACCAACCCACAAGCTGAAAACTTGTCCCAGGTTCCAACAACAAAATCCAAACTAGAAATCGTATAAATGCTGCTGCTACCAATGAACGTCCATCGCCTTCTGCTTTTGCTGCTTCTATTGAGCCACTTTCAAAAGGATGTTTTATTAGTGGCCAAGAGAAACGTAAACCAAAAATTTGACAGAGGTCGTTGGTGTTGAATTGTACTTCTAATATGTTGGAAATAAAATCTAAAAATGAGTTCAAAGCTCCCTCAAGTTATTTAAAGAAAACGTGAGGAAGATTTTCCTAATATTTCTCATTACGATGAAGAGGACTGTGTTTGCATTTACTGTAACTACCTTTATTTAAGATCTAAGCCTGGAGAAGAAGTACGTGGTTGCGGTACTTATAATGTTAGTTTGCTTTGGGCCCACCTTTCTGATGCCCCAAGAAGAACTATTTCATTTGCGAATTATGCTAATAATTGTGTAGTTATTATATAATAAAATAGGTCATTTTGTCCGAAGCATATGGACAAAATGGTTTATGATTGATCACAGTTAAATATATATTTTTTTCTCATAGTTTTTTTGCTAAAAATATATCAGTTTCGATAATTTAAGGACCAAAGATGACGTAAGTTATGGATATGCTGTGAAGTACCAATAAAAAGTTATGCTACAAAAACAAAACTGTATGTCATTTTGCATACATTTCCCCTATCGTTTAGCAATATAGTAAAACCGATTGACGGTTTTACAATTTATCTTCTATTTCAATCATTATTATTGGTTTATCCGCATAGCCTCAATTGGTGAGGTTGTCTCCTTGTCAAATTTCCCTTGTTTTGGTATACTTTCAGTAGTCTCCTTATTTATTCTTTAATTTGTAGTGTTGTTGGTGTTTAAGCGGTACCTATATTACTTTAGAAATTGATATAGGTACACATAATGTCTTTTGTTATGTGTATGAAATAGCCGAATAGCGTTTTGTTTTATTCGATGGTTTTTCTAAGTTGTCTAATTAAAACCATTGCTTCTGTTATAGATCTATTTACTACTTAAACTACTTCATTATTTACAATGTTAAAATAATCACAATTATTAACGAATGGGTTAAAAGAACAGTCATAGAATTGCACAGAATGTTCGATGAAGAAATCATGGTAAAACAAGAGAGTGAGAGAGAGATGAGTTTCAATAAGTTGACCATGAATAGAACGATAACTAGGACAGAAGAAAACGATAATGTATGCATATGTGAACGACGAAAAAGAGGGAAACAAAAAATCATATCCAGTACTATATTACATAGATTACTTGTTTACCTGTAAATATCTTCTTAACCAATAATGGCACATTTCCTTGTGGCGAATCTCTTCCACCTTCAATACTAAATCCTAAGCCGGCTCCATCCTTTATGAAACTTATTACATTGTTTGCCTCTTTTTCTTCTAATACTTCTAATGAAGGTGCTAAAAAAGTAAATAATTAAAAACAAAATTTTAAGTATGCACGTATTGTACGTTCTATGTGCATATCAACTTTCATAACATTGATAAAATACTCTTATTATTAAATATCTATCGATTTCTAAGCTCCGGATGTATGGCTTTTTTAAGAGTGAAAATATCATATTTAAATTGCCATATTTGTGTTAAAGTTTTGACACTTTTAGAAACAATCGCGTGATCTTTTCAACCGATATTGGCTATTTAAAATGTTATTATAACTGCAATATTTGATTGAATTTGTAGGATGTTCTGTATAAATGGTAGCTGTACTTTGATATAAATTTATTTACGGCTTATTTTATAATACATAATCCCCATCCTGGAATTCGCCTCGTTTCTAGTTCTTCTGTATTTTGGTAAGAATTTGGTTTTCATTTTAGTTATTTCTCCGATTTTTCGTTATTTATATGTATTGAAATTAAATATTAGGGCTAATATTTATATTATTATACACCTACATTTAGTCCTTGAGATCACAGAAGACATTGAAGACGATCTTCTTTGTAACAAACTACTACTACTAACAGGGGATGGCACTAGATTTTCTCCTTCCTCAATCACAATATAAAATTCAGTAACGGGTTCCTAAAAAAGAAAAAAAAAAAATACGTCAAATATTATGAACAAAACTCACACACTGGTGAAAATAAAAGATTCCATTCATTACGATTTTCATCTATGAATAGGTAATTGTGTCTTTTGTGCTCTAGATAGGCATGTTTGAAAATAGTATTCAGTACGCTCTATAGGGTTTTAATGTCGTTTTCGTCTTAATTTTTACAATTTTATCAGCTAAGACGCATTATACGTATACAGGGAGACAGTTTAGTTACGAAAATTACGATCTTCTCATATTTTTAAATGTACAACACGTACTTTATTTTTCAAAAGATTAAATTTATATATTTATGATACTTTCTCATTTGTCAACATTTCTCTTCTTCTTTGTCAACCATTTTCCATCCACTCCGGAATGTAGGTCTCTCCCAATTGCTTCAATCTTTCTCCAACTTGCGCCAATCTAATCCACTTTGTGCCTGCCACTGCTCTTATGTCATCTACTCATCTTTTTTGAGGTCTTCCCATGCTTCTTGTTGTCGTCCTTCGTCTCCATTCTAGAATTCTCTGTGTCCACCCGTTATTATATCGGGCTACGTGACCTGCCCAGCGCCATTTCATTTTTGTAATTTATTCCACAATATCCCTAATCTTCGTTCTACGTCTTATCTCGGTGTTTTTAATCTTGTCTCTTAGTGACAATCCAAGCATGATTCGTTCCATTGCTCTTTGCGTTGTTTCTAATTTTTTAGCAGATTTTTTGGTAAGGGCTACTGTCTCCAAGCCGTAGGTAAAAACTGGTTGTATGCATGTGTTATACACCTTTTTCTTTCTTTAAGTTTACAGGAATGGATGTGTTTTTCAAGTTGCCTAAAGCGCCCCATGTCAGTTGTGTTCTTCTTTTAATCTCAGCATCTTGTTTTGGTTTTCCTAGTTTTATAACATGACATTTGTATTATTATATTTGTCTGGTCTCGGCTCAGTATTTTTGTTTTGCTGTAGTTCATTTTTAAGCTTACCGCTCCTGAAACTGCATTTAATTGTTGTAACATATCATTTAGTTCTTGGATATTATCGGCTGTTAGAACTATGTCATCTGCGAATTTCAAGTGGTTTAAGTATGATCCGTCGACGTTGATATCCTTATTGTTCCATTCCAGTTTCTTAAAAATATCTTTTAGAGTTTCTAAATAGTTTGGGAGAGATGGTGTCTCCTTGTCTTACTCCCTATTGCAGTCTTATGGGATTAGTTTTTGTGCTTTCGTCCAGCTTTATATGCATGGTGGCATTTTCATATAAGTTTTTAATTATGTTAATGTATCTTGAATATATGCGTGTATTTTCTAGAGATTCAAGCACTGCCCATAATTCGATGGAATCGAATGCTTTATGGAAATCGACGAACGCAATATGAATTGGGACATTACACTCAGTGCATTTTTCTATCAGTGTTCGTACGGTGTGCAAGCTGTCTATGGTATTAAAATGTTTTCTGAATCCAGTCTGCTCGATAGGTTGATAGAAATCGAGCTTACCTATGTGTTAGGCGGTTGGTTATGATTTTAGTTAGTAATTTATACAGTTGTGATAGCAAGGATATTGGTTGGTAATTCTCGATGTTTTCTTTGTCTCCTTTCTTGAATAGTAAAATGACTTCCGAGTTGTACCATTCTTAAGGAATCTTTCCTTCATCAATTACTTTATTAAATAAAATATTTAATACCTGTTCCATTTTTCTGCCACCAATTTTCAACATTTCAACTGTAATCTTATCCTCTCCCGGACATTTATTCGTTTTTAGTTGATTTAGAGCCATTCGTATTTCATAGTCGGTTATGTCCGGTATTTTTTCTGAAGCGGTGTTAATTATTGTTCGTTCAGTACGTCGTTGTTGTGGTTGTGTATTTACCGAGTATAATTTAGTGTAGAATTTTTCAATGGCCTCCCTTATTTCCTTTCTGTCTCGGACGGTGACGTTTTTCTCATTTTTTATTTCTATTATTTTTGTTGTGCCGCTTGAGTTTTTTGTTTTAAGTACTTTCATGTTACAGTTATCTTGTATTATATTTTTTATTAGATTGTTATTATAGTTTCAATGATCGTTTCTAATTTATTTCTTCACGTTTTTGTTTAAACTTTTGAAGCTGTCCGAAGTTCGATTTGTTCTGTTTCATCTTTCTTGGAGTAGTTTAATTGTATTAGGTTGGAGTTTAGATGTTTTGGCTGTTTTCATTTTTGAGCATGTTTTCTTAACCGATGTTGTTACAGTTACTTTATTTTATTGGCTACAACTTATTACTTTCCTTAATGTTTTTAGTTTTCTTTTAAGAACTAAGTTTTTCTTCTTAGGCTTCTATCGTCCATGTTTTGGTATAGGCCTCTTCCAACTTCTTCCATCAATCTCTATCCAGAACAACATACTCCCAATTTGTTTAAGCTATTTTTTTGATGTCGTCTACCCATCTCATCTATGGTCTTCCTCTTGATCATTTACCTTTGTAAGGTCTCCAATATTGTACTGTGGTGTTTCAACGTCGGTATTTTTGTCTAGCTAAGAAAAAACTTAAACTTAAATATTACAAAATTATTTATATTCAATAAATAACTAATAAAACATATAAACCATAATAATATGCAATGTATTTAACAATTAATGTGATATTAAGGATATAAGTCTAAAGTAAATATTCAAAATGTCCACCTCCAACGTCTATGCAAGTGTGTAACCGATATTCAAATGACCCAGCCACATTTCTTCTTCTTTTTATGTAGACATGACTATACGTGTCTGTTTTTCATTGTTTCTCCAGCTATAGTTCCATCGTTTTTGTGGTCTTCGTACTGATCGTCTTCCTATTGGGGAACCGTTTCTTGCCATCTTTACTACTCTATTTGTCATGCGGCTTCTTTGATAGTTCCGTTCTACTCTTCTATTTTCTATAGTATATCTGCTTCTAACTCTGTCTCATAGTATTTTACCATTAATTTTTCTAATTGTTTTCATCTTTGCTGTTTTTAACATTCTTTTTGTTTTCTCTGTCAGGTCGTGTTTCTGCCGCGTATGTCATTATTGGTCTGATGACTCTTTTGTAAATTCTACCTTTTATTTCTTTCCCGATATTTTTGTTTCTCCATATTGTATCATTCAGGCAACCTGCGGCTCTTTTGCTCTGTTTACTCGATCTTCTACTTCGGTTTGGAGCTTTCCGTAGCTAGATAATGTGATGCCTAGATATTTAAATTATCTAATTGAACAACAGATTGATAATAGAACAAGCACTTGTTAACTTGTTATTAGAAATTAACATGTTAAGTTTTCTGGTAGTTATATTAAATTGGTGCAGCATACGTTGTAAATCACTTTGAGGGGGGTAGTATTGTTAAGTATTAAGTAAGAGTATTAAGTTGTTTTTCTCCCATTTGGTATCCTTTTTTAGTTCTTACTTTTTTTTAATATTGTTCTGAAGCTCTTTTCTTGTGGCATTTATTGACGTTTCAATTTCCACTTCGGAAATCGTTCTCAAAATACAAACAGTAAATTCATAACAGTATTTTAACCTTTAATTGTGGCTTATTTCCAGTTAAATAGTAATTTATTTACTTTTTTTTATTATTTCATCCATAATCAGGTTGAATACTAGAGGACTTGGGGAATTTCCCTGTCTTATCCCATTGCCAGCTTCAATAGGGATTTTGATTCTACGTCTATTTCATTGTGAAATGTAGGCTCATCTCCAAAAAGCATATAATCGAAAAAATCGGTCGCTACGCACTTGCTTCTGAAACCATTCACCAAATCTGCGATTATAATCATCGTCTGTTAATTCTTTATCTAACTGTACGCGGTAGGGATGCATTTTATATTTACGGAGGATTTTTGCCGCCGAAGTTGACTAATGCAATGTTGACGGGAAATTTAACGAGTCGTGATATGAGGATCCTCAGTAGTAGCTAACAGTACATGATATTCCTTTTTTTAACTTATCAACATGCAAGTAACCCAGTGTGAACAAAACGATTCATTAATTTTTTCACGTTTGGCTTCATCTCTTCTGGATATCGCTGTTAATATATTTTACATACAAGTAGGCTAGTTTTCTAATTTTCTCCGAATATCCTGGTCATACCTATTAGTTCTTTAATAGAAAAATTTATTTTTAAAATTAAAGACAAGCCATATACACCGATTAAAAAGATAAATGATATGAAAACTTGTCATAGAAGTAACCAAATAATATCACGTCCTAAAGTAAATATATAATCATCTCTTGAAGCAGATATTAGGATAGCCTTTTTCAATTCTATAAAAATTTTCGAAGTAAAAAATTGATTGATAATAATAGAATGGAACATAGGGGATTTAGTGTACATTGAAAATGAACAAAATTAAACCGAAATAAATTAGATCCAGTTCGAGTTAGACCCTATCCAGAAGTACAGTCCCAAAGAGCGGAAGTGTAAAGGTTTTGAAGCAACCTTTAGTCATTTGACACTTTCACTCACATTGGACTTACATTAATTTTAGTGTTTGATATTTCCTTTAATTTGTCGGTTGATTTTTTTCGTATGTGTTAATTCTTATAGGTAATTGCTTGATATTTTGTAGTGTTTTATTCATTGGTGTCTTTAATAGAATAAAATCATACAAAGTAAAGAATTTAGATATATATGGATATAACGAATTAGGATCCAAACAACAAAACTACTTTAACAGGCCTAAGTTCAACAGGAGTGACTGAGATATAACGAAAATCTTATGAGACATAATAAATTAAAGAATTTTAGAGAATTTTTAAGAAAGATTAAATTAAAGAAAGAGATTAAGAAAGTCTTAAAAATATCTATAGTATTTATATGTTGCGGTACGATAAGAGTATATCAGAATCTACACAGAAGTGATTTTATAAAATACATAAGAGTAATATATAAATACCTGTTAGATATCTTTCAGAAGGGAAATCGTATTGCAGTTAACTCACGTTGTAGAAAAATGTTATCGCCGGTGTAATACAATATATAAAATTCTTAATGTATAAAGCGTATCAAGGCAAGATACATAAGAAATCGGAATTCAAAATTATTTTGGAAAACTATACGCAAAAATCATAATCACTCTGTACATATGAAAAGGTTTCTCAGCAACATGAATGCAAAAAAAAGAAACTAAAAAAATCTAAACACAATTAATGCAATCTTGTAAATGTAATCTCTAATTCCAAATACAGTATCCTAGAAGAGTTGAATAATCATTTGGAGACATGACTATCCGAGAAGATGGTCAAGTGTTCATTTCAGAAAAAATTATATATAAAATTTACCTTAAGTAGTTCAACAGCTTCCAGGTGAGTTAAATCTCTAGTGGACTGTCCATTAATGGAAATGATCTTGTCTCCTTTCTTAAGCTGCCCATCAGTATATGCTATACTAGAATACTTTATGCGGTGTACCTAAAAATTTAAGTTTTTAAATATACTTCTTTATATAATATCTAGTTGAAACTACATTTTGAATAAATTGTCTCATTTTTTATTTCAAACAATAATTTCGAATATAATAATAATATAATTATAATATTTAATACTCATTAACGTCCGAGTTCGTATGAAGTGTAGGACAGCTAAACCGATCATATCTTAATAGTAAAAATTTGTCTAAGGCATTAAATATGTACACTTCTTTTGCGCTTAACTATAATCCGACAAGCGAGAGCTGGCGGGTTGCGCGTAGAACAAATTAAAAAGTGGAAGGAATTGCTCATTTCTATTGCAGTCGGCTAGAGTTCACATCGTGTATAACCGTTTAAGTACCTATACTATATACCTATAATCGCGTTTAAGTACCTCTGATATCTCTCTTAGAATAATTCCTTTTCGAGACACCCGCCAGCTCTCACTTGTCGGATTATACTTCTTTGGTATTATAAAGTGATCAAAAGCAGATATAGATGATATAGATATAGAAAGAGATGGACATGGATAAACAGACTGCCAATATAAGAACCTATTTTCAGACGAAACCTGAGACATCTTCTTTACATCGCTCAATTTGCGCAGTAGATGACACATTGCCGCTTAAACCGCAGGAACAAGAAATGCGCATAAACTAACTGACTACCTAAACTATTGGTTTACATCAGGAAAGATGTTACCCGAGACAGAGGGTTCCATACTTACCATTCAGAATCAGATTATTCCAACTAAAAATTACCTGAAATATATTGTCACAGACCTTTAAGTTTCAGGTCAAGCCCAAGAAACCATCCAACATCTTACAGGGGCTGCCGGCGTTTGTTGGGACAGACCAACCAGTGGCACATAATAGACCGGGTCTCATACTAGTTAATAAACTTAGACAGACAACACTAATAGATGTGGCGATACCTAACAGTAATAATCTGCCTGTTAAATACAACGAAAAAATCAATAAGTACAGATATCTGGAAATATAAATAAGGAGACAATCATCGTCCAGCCTCAAAAGTCCACTGCTGAACATAGGCTCTTCCTTTTGTTTCCAACCCCGTCTACCTTGCACCACTCTTGGGAGACAATGGAGAATGGAAATTACCCAGACGATACCTATTATTCTCTCTACTACTGGAGTTATATGACCATGCGGAAATTCTATACGACCATCCATTTGGGAGATACTCCGAAGTACCCAGTCACCTAGGGCTCAATAATACGGAAAGAGTCCCACAAGAGATCAATACTTTGGATACCGTAGGTATCTGTGATGAGTAAATTTTCCCCTCAGAGACGTATGGTTAAATCTGGATATTAATTGTAATAATAATAATTTCGAATATAACTAAACTAAAACATACAATTTGTCCATTCTGGAAGAAGACAGTAATCCTAGGCTACGAAATTAAGAGTTAGGAGGCCAAAGTACGCATTTTTGTTATCTGTTTATAATCCTTTCTATACTATATGATTAAGAAGTGTAAATGGGAAATCAAGATGTGGAGTACACTTCAAAATAATAATATTTAGGAAATACTGAAAAAAACGAAGCTGGAAATCCCATACTAATTTGGTCAACAAAACTTGCTACTAGAAACTTGCTAGCCTTTCGACATTTTACAGGGCAAGAAGTTGGAACTGAATTATAATCCCTTTCTTTATCTTACGGCTGTAATCTCTGTATCTTGCCCTTTTAAACGATGATTAGGAACAAATTCAATGGACTGGCGAATAAAATGCGACTAGGCCTAAGGGGAACGAATAACTCACTATCCCAATCCTTGAAAAAGTAGCCTACAAATGCTACAAATTTATGCTATTAATTCTCAAAAAAGACCAAATTTAATAACAAAGATGCATTAAACTCATTTAAAGAGACTAGTGAGGGTCCAGATAATATCCCAATAGTTTTTCTTATGCATTTACCTGAGAATGCACACAATCATCTTCTTAAGATATTTAATATTATTTGGTCAGAACAGAATCCAACAGTGTGGAAAGACTCTATCATAATACCAATATTAAAACCAAAATGTTCCAAAACAGATCCTGAGTCTTATAGACCAATTGCACTAACATATACTGCATGCAAACTGTTAGAAAAAATGGTCAACCGTCGTCTCCTCTGGACACTTGAAGATCGAAATATTATTATTCCAGAACAAAGTGGTTTCCGACAAAATAGATCAACTCTAGATAATATTATAGACCTAGAAAGCAGTGTACATGAAGCCTTCTCCCTTAATCAAAAATGTTTTGGAATACAGCTTAGCGCCACCGTATCATCAGATTACTGTACGATTTAGAAATTAAAGGACATTGATTTGCATTTATAAAAACTTCTTATATAAAAGGTATATGCAAGTTAGAGTAAATGGTAACATGTCGTCAAAAGTGCAATTAGAAAATGGAATTCCTCAGGGATCTGTTATAAGTTCTACACTATTTATAATTGTCATAAATGATATTCTACGAAAGTTAAAACTTCCACTTAAAGGCCGCTTATATGCCGACGATCTCGTAATATTTGGTCAAAGCAAAAACTTAAACAACCTCTCACAACTTGCACAGGGTTTCTTGTTAGATATTGGAAAATGGTCACAGGAAACTAGATTTATCTTTTCAACAACTAAAACTAAATATACGGGGTGTTTCAAAAAGGTATGTCATCAATTAAATCACGCAATCCGGGGTCAAAAATAAATTGATTTAATTCAACTTACCTTAGTACAAAAGTGAACACAAACAAAGTTACAGCCCTTTGAAGTTACAAAATAAAAATTGTTTTTGTGCATTATTTCCTAAACTACTTAAAATTTTGTAATAGAAATGAACATGTTACTTTCTTGTTCTGAAATCATTTTTCATACAATAGAAACCACTAAATCTAAGAGCACAGAAAAATTTAAGGGGGGTGTGCAGACCTAAATCCCCCCAAATCATTTATTGTGTGGATAAGATTAATATTAAAAATTTTGATATTACAATGGCCTACAAATTTCAGGAAATAGCAGATATGCATTTAACTTTGGGTAAGTTGGATCAGATTAAAATATGATTTCAATAAACTATCGGGAATATTGTAGGTTAATGTCAAGAAAATACTGCGGCAGCCGCAAGGCATTATGTAGTAAAATACCCCAATCGAAATACACTCAATAGACGATTATTTCTGACCATTGATCATCGTTTACGGGAAACGGATACATTCCAATCGCAAGTTGCTGGCAATAGTGGTCGTCCAATAATGGATGCAACTGATGAAGACATTTTAAAAATCATTGAAGAAGTCCGTGGAACAAGTACAAGGGCAATAGCTGCTTAACTAAATGTTATTCACGTAAGGGTTTGGAGACATGGAGACAATGAAGTTTGAAGGATCAGCTGCTTAAACCCTATCATTTAACAACGGCTCAATAGTTATTGGTTGAAGATTATCCTAGAAGGATTGGATTTTGCGATTGGTTGTTAATGGAAAACACTCGAAATGTTAATTTTATTAGAAATATTTTGTTTACTGACGAGGCTACCTTCAGTAGAAATGGAATAACAAACCATCATAACGAGCACATTTGGACCAACGAAAATCCTCACACCAAAAAACGACTCATTACCAAAGGACTTTCAAAGTTAATGTTTGGGCAGGAATTGTGGATAACAATACAATAGGTCCAGTATTTCTTCTCAACAATTTAAATGGTGATAATTATTAATTATTTGCAGTTCTTGGCAAACGATTATTTGGAAGAAGTAAATATTGCAATAAGGCAAAATATGTGGTTTCTACAAGATGGCGCTCCACTGCATTACAATAATGAAGTCCATGAATACCTTTGCAGGCAGTATACTGGTCGGTGGATTGGAAGGGGTGAAGCTGCAAATCGATTTCGTGAGAAAGATATAATTTTTCAGCGCATTCGGTTTTCCTTATTAAAACCATACCGAATGGGTATTGAAGAAAATGGGCGTCATTTTGAACATTTATTGTAATATCATATTTATAGAGGTTATAGACATTTTTGTACTTGTTAATTCATTTAAGCCATTTATTTAGTTGCAAGCAATTTTTTAAAGTTTAATGAAAAGGACCGTAACTCAATAAAAACTGTTTTTTGAAAAGAGTGATAAGAGCAAAACATTTTTAAAAATAATGTGTTAAACTAATGATGCCACAAAATTCATTTGATTTGAACGTACTCAAAAGTTTGGGGGGATTTAGGGCTGCACATCCCCCTTACATTTTTTCTGTGCGCTTAGATTTTGTTGTTTCTTTTTTATGAACAATGCTTTCAGAACAGGAAAATAACGTGTCCATTTTTATTATTAAATGTCAAGTAGTTTAGGAGATAATACAAAAAAAAACAATTTTTATTTTGTAACTTTAAAGGGCTGTAACTTTTTTTGTGTACACTTTTGTACTAAGGTAAGTTGGATTCAATCAATTTTTTTTGTCTCCGGAATGCGTGATTTAATTTATGACATACCTTTTTGAAACACCCTGTATAGTATTTTCTTAAAACAAAAGTCAGTATACCAATCTCATTATATATATACAACCCATCAAGACACCAGGATATCAATAATAACAAGATACCAGGAACACTTCTAGAAGCTCTAGGTGCAGACTGTAACTTTAACAATACTCTGAATTTCTTGAAAGACATTAAGAAGTACCACAATATTTAATAAACCAAATTGTAGTGCAGTAATTGTACCTAATGTAATCCATTAATTTTTCGCTAATGGCCATTTGGTCGATGCGATTGTCTAAATAAAAAAAGTAGCCTATTAATAGTACTGATGTGGCACATTAACCAATTTTTTAAAACGTTAAAAAATAGTTTATTATCTATTTAAAGTGCACATATAAAAGGTAACATCTAGTAGCTTAAAAGGCTAAACTTACCGTTATATCTTTATTTTCGTCAACTCCACCGGATAAAGTAATACCTAGACTAGTTCCATATGGATCGGTTTTGAGCGTGATCGTCTTTGTTTCAACTTCTGAAGATTTCTTGTCTTGAGTCTTTGGGGGCGAGCAGATTTCTAATTTTTCAACACTTTTGCCTATACCGTTTCTAACAGGCAACGTCGCCTTGCCTTCTATAATGTCATTTACTTTGCTATTGCTTCTAGATTCTGCAGATTTAAAAAAAGGAACTTTTTGTGGTGATACAGGAGAAGAAGAATTCATATTTTCAAAGTTTTTCTTTAGTGCTTTTACATTAATAGGTCCTGGTTTCCTAGAATTCGAGTTAGTACTAAGGTAGTCTTTGGATTTGCTGTTTTTCGTTTCTTCTGGTAATTTCATTTGTACGTGATTAAGGCTTGAAGAATTCAGCGCTAAGAATATGTTCGTTGATGCTACTTTAGTTGGCGTTTCATTATTTCCTATAAAAAAAATACGTTGGTACAATATTCAATTTACATTTAATTTTTTTTTTGTTTGAGGTTGTTCGAAATGTTTTTAATTATTAAATTATTAGATAATAAGTATATTAGATTATTAAATATCCTGTTTATATAGGATTAAACTACATGTGGCTTAATCACGTACAAACACAATATTTAACTGAGACATGTCACAAGAAAACTGTTTCAGAACCTCTTATTAGAATATGATTTAACAATAGGCGTTTTGTGTTATGAGTAAAAATGGTATAATAGATGTTTAACAGCTATTTATCCTATATAGACCTTATATCATTCTGATTGTTACAAAACCGATATATACAATAAAATTTACAGTCCAATGGCGATAGCTTTATATAACATAATCATAGCGAATTCACTGTAGAGAAATTTTAATTGAAACTTAATACCGGAATTGTTACATTTTAATGCTTTATCCATAGGATTGCATAAGTCGCGAAAAATTTACTATAAGAAACGAATGTCTAATCTAATTGAAGAATACATATACACACATACATATTAATAGCTAGAGCTAAGATTAATACTATTACAGGAATTAATATTATCATAATTCCTGTATAAAAAGTTATCTACAGTAAAACAGTTTGATATAATTTATGTGCACTGCTCTTAAAGCAATTACTATTTTATTGGGAATAAACCACAATTAAAGTTTATGATTAAGTTTATTGACGTTTTAATTTCCACTTCGGAAATCGTTCTCAAAATACAAACATTAATTTGGCAGGACGAGAGTATAAAATCCATCAAACACACCGGCACTGCATGCTTATGAAAACCATGGTTTTGATGGAGTGGATATTGTGTTTTCATCAAAATCGGCTGATTAATACTCACGATAACAAGAATAGGGAGATGTTTGTGAAATGGTTGAATGAAAAACTTTTTCCAAATTTACATGAACCATCTAGTCCGTGTGGATAGGGGAACGCCCCAACCAGTTCTAGGACTGGCGGGTAGGTGGGAAATAAAATACCACCCGTAAACCAAAACCGACCCTCCAGGTTGCGGGTTAGGCTAGAGGCTAACAACCTCTTCCTGTAAAAATCATATGTTACGAAACCTCAAAAACTATTAGCCGGACGGAACTTACGACGACGACTCTGCAAACGAAAATGGAATTAAGATTAGGAACATGGAACACCCGAACCCTGTACCGAGCTGGAGGACTCGCATCTCTACTAGACATAATGAACATGTACAGAGTAGATGTTTTGGCAATGTAGGAAATGCGATGGACGGGAACAGGCATTCTTGACAAGAGAACCCACTCCATATATTACAGCTGCAATGAAAACCAACACATAGATGGAGTGGGATTTATAGTAAACCAAAGAACAAAAGACCTAGTTATTGATTTTAAAGCCTATAGTAAAAGAATGTGCTATTAACGCTTAAAAGGTAAATTCTTTCATTACAGTTTAATCAATGCACATGTCCCGACCGACGACAAACTAGAAGACATTAAAGAACAGTTTTTTGAAGACCTAGAACAAACCTAGAGAAGATGCCAGAGAAATGACATCAAGATAGTGCTAGGTGACATTAAGCAAGAATAGGACGAGAGCGAGTTTTTATGCCGACTATAGGTAGGCATAGCCTACACAACATCAGTAGCGATAATGGATTACGACTGATAAACTTCAGTGCAGCAGCACTGAACATGACCGTCGCTAGCACCTATTTTGAACACAAGAATATACACAAGGTAACCTGGACCTAACCTGATGGAAGAACAACTAGTCAGATTGATCACATCTTAATAGATTCAAGACACGGAACAAACATAATGAACTGCAGAAGTTATAGAGGCGCAAACATAGACTCAGGCCACTGTTTAGTGATCTCAACACTAAGGGCTAGAATTTTAAATTCCAACAAAGAAAAAAAAATTAGATAGAAAGGACTGGAGGTAAAACAGGAAAAACAGGAGATAAAGGAAGATATTGATTAAGCAGCACAAGATAAAATAGGAACAGAAACTTGTACCCGAAAAAATCACTGGTTTAACGATGAATGCAAAGACGCAAGACAGAAAAAAAAATGAAGCCTATGCAAAAATGCTTACCCGCCGAACTAGAACAAGTATAGAGAATTACTAAATAAAGAGAAGGGAAAAAAAGAAAATACACAGAATGAAGAAACGAAACCACTTAAAAAAGGAACTTCAATGTATAGAAACCTCAACAGAGAGAAAGCATTCAGAACATTCTATAAGAAAGTTAACGTCAACAGCAAAGAATTCAAGGCAAACACAAAACAATGTAGAAGTTTAAATGGCGATCTATTAACAACAAGAACAGACGTACTAAATCGATGGACGGAATATTTTAACCAGATACTTAATATAGAGGAAGAAGAAAACACGGAAGACGAAAGCTGCGAGGGAAGCGGAGCAGACCAGAGGGAGGAGGATCCACCAACGATCCTGGAAGTTAAAGACGCTGTAAACAAACAGAAACAAATCACCCGGAATAGATAATCTCCCAGCGGAATTATATACAGAAGGTGGCCACGATATCATAATAGCACTACAGCAGCTTATAAAAGAAATATGGATACAGAAGTCCCTCCATAGTGATTGGAATATTGGAATACTTTGCACCATACACAAAAAGGGAGATATCTTTGAATGCTCTAACTATCGAGGAATTACGCTCCTAAATGCAGCGTATAATATATTCTCCAATATATTATGCCATCGTATGGCACCAAATGTAGAGCGAATAATAGGACAATACCAGGCTGGTTTCAGGGTGGTAAATCAACAATTCATCAGATTTCAGCCCTGAGACAAAGATAAATAGAAGAGAATTATTTAGAGCAATGATAGACCTAGGAGTACCAAATCAGTCTAATCTTGATAAGTCTAACCAAACTAACCCTTAACAAAGTTGAATGCAGAGTACGATCCAAGGGAAAATATCTGAAACAAATAACGGGCTACGTCAGGGAGACCCACTCTCCTGTATACTATTCAATCTAGTTCTGGAAAAAGTAATACGTACGTCACAAATCACAACTACCGGTTCAGTATATAACAAATCTGTGCAAATCCTAGCATATGATGATGATATCAATATTGTGGGGAGAACGGAAAACGCAGCACGAGAGGCGTACGTAGCACTAAAGGAAGCGGCTACAAAAATGGGTTTAATAATAAACACCAATAAAACGAAATACATGAAAATATTTACGCAACCACAAATACTACGTCCACTTGTTATAGAAAACGACGTCATCGAAGAAGTTAACGAATTTTTATACCTGGGAATGCTCATCAATACTGAAAATGACACTACCTCAGAGATAAACCGCAGAATTTGCACGGTTAATAAATGTTATTTTGGGCTTAATCTTCTTTCTAAATCTACAGTTATATCAAAAAATACAAAAGTAAAACTCTACAAAACAATAATACGCCCAGTCCTAACATATGGTTCAGAAACCTGGACTTTAACAAAAAGCAATGAAAACATGTTAGGATGCTTCGAAAGAAAAATAGTAAGGCGAATCTATGGAGCGCTAAATGAAAATGGTGTCTGGAGAAGACGATATAACTTAGAACTCTATAGAATATACCAGGAACCAGATATCGTGAAACACATTAAGATATGACGTCTGAGGTGGGTAGGCCATGTAATGCGGATGGAGCAAACTGACCCAGCTAGAAAAAACGCTCCTTGATAGACCTATTGGTCAAAGAAGAAGAGGAAGACCCAGAACCAGATTCCTAAATAACATAGACCAAGATATGAGAAATATGGAAATAACGTGCTTGGCGGAGGAAGGGGATGGATAGGGACGACTGGAAAAAAATTCTTGGGGAGGCTAGGACCCACACAGGGTTGTAAAGCCAAAATGATGATGACATCTGTTATAGCTTGGAATAATGCTCCATACCATTGGTAAATTTTAAATAAGCAACCAACAAATTCCTGAAAGTACATAAAACAAAATAATAGTTAACGAATGAAAATATTTCATTTTTTTGGGATTCTTTCAAGTCGTAATTACTATATTTAGCCAAAAGGAATAAAAAACAAACCAAAAATATTTATAGTAAACGATATTATACGTAGTTTTGGACCTAATGTGATAAGGATGAGACTGCTCCTTTACCATTTTGAATTCAATCCCATTGAATATATTTGGGGAATATGCAAAACTTACTACTATACCTATATTAGACATAACGGTTACAGTGACGCAGCAGTTTTGGAAACATGACAAGAAGTATTGAATATTGCTGCTCCTGCAATTTGTTGTTGTCAATAGAATAATGTTGGATGCCTGAAAATCGCATCGAACCAATTATCACAGGCGTCACTTACAACCCAAATCAGTCAATGAAGAACAAAAAGCTGAAAAAATCTTATACATATATTTGAAGTTTCTAAAGGCTATATGAGGGGTAGCTGGGGAAAAATTCGTGAAGACATACAGCTGATTTTGCTTTATTTTTGTTTTAAACAATCTTAAAAAGTGAAAAAACGTAGTTTTTTGCCTATAAAAAGTTTATTATACATTTTAGAGAAAAATCTTTCAAATAAAAGTAGAGTAGAGTATAAGTTATTCAATTTGTTTTTCCCGGATAGCTTGTCGGGATTATTTAAACAACTGTGTTTGTCCAAACAAACACTGTAAAATCGCAATCGATACTTTGAAGCTTCATTTATATTTATTACAATAACTTTAACTTATTATTAAATTTTATTATTAAAAAACAGTTTGAAAAAGCGCTCGCTGACTTAATAGTTTCATTATAAACTTATTTATTTATGAAACTTAACAGTTTCATTATAGTAAACATTTATAATAACTTTGATATTTTTTTATGTCACACGGTTGTAAGTGGGCTCACTAAAAAGCTGGTCAAAAAGACACTTTCCAAAAAAAACAGAACCTTCTATTACTATGACCAATAACACGAAACAAGCTGAGATATTGCAGTG